TAATTAACCTAATTGGCAAACGTTGATTCGCCCAACTCACAAACACAAATCTATTCCATATGTAACTTGATTACACATCCTTTTATAAATTTTTTCAGTTTTCCTTTATTTTAATATATTTGTTTTAAAAAATTGTGTTTTTTTTTTTTTGGAAATATTTCATCGGTTCATCGCTTCGCGAATACTCCGATTAATATATTTCGAACACATGTTTTAAAAAATTGTGTTAAAATGATCAAAAAGCCAACTTTTCTCTTCCACCCGAAGAAGACACCCGCACGTGGGCAGTTTCAAGCCTTTCTCTTTTCAATTGACTTAAGAGCAAATAAAGCCAAAAAGGTACCTTTCCAATTTTGACAAATATAAAACAGAGTTCGCACCCCTCCTCCAAATTCCGCAAAAATGTGCCCTCTCTCCCTTTTCTATTTGGAACAAGTAACAAACTGATGCCTACAAATAATATACTACATTATCCCTTGAATTATAATATTCTTGAAATTTACATCAATATAATGTATTTGTTTACGGGAAATCATATCCTTCTGCAACTGAAAAATTGTTCTCTTATGCATTAGATACATTTTTCTTAAGTGAGTTTCACTATTTAATAAAAGAAAAAGAAAAAACTGTTAACACGCATTTTCATGGATGTGCACGAAAAATTGGTATCTTTTATGACAGAAGAAAATATAACCCCTTTGTTTATATTATAATTTTTTAAAAAAATTAGGGTAAAGAGTAAAATTTTCAAACATAGGGTTAGTTTGACTATAAATACAGTTGAATTACGTAATGGTTTTTGATGTTATTATTAAAAAATTTGTGATATTCGCTGCTGTTTAGGATGCATATGTTTTGGAAAGGATAATGTAAATTGTATTATAATATTTTTTGTCTTGTACATTGTTTCACACACAATATGTTAGAAAACTGAAGGAATGTGGATTATTGCTTTTTTTATTTATTTTACTAGACAATATTTTAAACTTGATTTAGTGGGTAATAGAAATTTAGATTTTTGTAACTACACTTGAATTACTTTTTATCCCATACTTATACTATATTACGAATCAAACAAAATATAAATTCAATTATATTAAATTATCCCTTATTTTTTAAGGAATCAACAAACCCATAGGATAATACCATTTACCTCTTGAATTATGAAAATGATCAGCAGCAGGTTAGCACATTCTTTACTAAATATGGAACAAAAATGTTTTGTTAAATAGAGATTCATATATGAGAAACATATATAAGATAAAACCCAAAAGTGCCATCTTCAGTCCGGTAGCAGTTTGCACTTCAAATATGGATAATTCAGTTTACAGGGCAAGGTAAATAGGGATAACTCATAATTCAAATCAACAGGTTCAAATTTTTTAGGCATTTTAAAATACAATAATTATCACACCACACCACTTTAAGGGCAACAAAAAAAAAAGTCCCCACCAAAAAAAAAAAAAAGATGTTGAAACAACAACAGGGTGATTGATCGTCCAATCCAATCACCAGATGAAATCCAGCATTCTGATAGGCAAATGGCTTCATTACACCTGAAAAATGTTAAAATAATAAGGACATTAAATGGAAGGGCAAGTGGAAAGATAGACAAGTCACTTAAAGATGACCTTAGCAATTAGTGTTAATATATACAATGTACTTAAATATATCATAATTAATAATAAAGGCTTGTGGAAAGGCTTACTGTGTTCAAAGAGTTGATCTGCATCAATCCTCCCTCCTGAAAATAATCAAAACAAATTCTTTTTCTTATTTTTCAAGAAGAGAGTAAGAGAGAGAGAAGGTTGTTGCGAAGAAAATTGGAAGGTCAAAAGAAATAAACCATATAATTTAATTGTAACCTCACAATGAACACTTCTCAATTAATTATAGAATCGGCACACAAGAAAAGAAAAGAAAACAAAACTATATAACAATTAATAGGAAAAGTACTATTGGACTTTGATGATATATTTAAAACATCCAAATATGATAGTAAGACCAAGCATTTGAAACAGTAAATAACACAATCTTATACTATTGAACATGGATGGATGACAATTGATGACGTACAACAGGCATATAAGTCAATTGCTTACGATTAAATTATCATCAATCCTCTAAAAGGAAGTTCATGTTTGAGCCTTCTATGTAAAGGAGGAACTATCTATAAATAGAACTTAAAGAGGACTAAAAGCACACTTAATTCAAGCAAGATATTCCAAAGACTCCCCATTACCCGTGGAACACAATTTGCAAGAGATGCAATCTGCGAGGATTCAGAATTGGATATTGCACCTGCAAGTAACAAAAAATATGTAGCAATGATTTTGCTCTCGTCAAAAGCTTATAACAGATTTACATCTATATATTTCAGAATGCTAAGGCAAGAAATTACTAGGATGAAGTTTAGATGCTGAATCCAGTGTTGTGTAGGCATTTAGCTTGAATACAAAATGAGATTTTCCTTCAGTGCCTTCTAAGTTCATCACATTTAGACCTTGCATAAACATCTTGTCACAAGAATCAGGATCACCAACTGAAAGGTACTTTGCTGTAACATCATCAATGTACTCAGTGAGCCTTCCAACAGCAATATCTATGAAGAACTTGTAATGGGAATATGAACCAGATGAAGCCTGACTGGCACCACAACTTTCCTGAATATTAAATTCCTCATGATGTTAGGGATATTCCAATAATTATAGCAAATACTTTTCCTACTTCCCAGTAATTAGGAATAGAAAACATCTAAATGAGAAAATTATGGATTATAAGGACAAGGGTTAATGGCAAAGAATTCAAAAATCTTAGATCACCAGACCACTTCAAAAAAATCTCATGGAATGGCTGATCGAACTATAAAAGAATGTCAAGTTAAATTCCTATTACCAACCAAAAGCATAATAATTAATCAATAAAGAAGTGAAGAACCGACAAAAAAAAATTAAAACTAAAAGATCAAGAGCAAGCAAAATACAAACAATTCACTGCCAATCCACCGCATTGTGTGTCTATTGAATTAGGGAATAGTGGAAGCAGACAAATGCCAATGAACACATTGGTTTAAGAAACGCCCAAATCAAAGAAATTTGTAAATACATTTACTAACAAGTATTGATTCAAGCAGGTGGCTATATAAAAAAAAAATTATTCTATATCACTGAATATATATCACATTGATTATGTAAACTACTATTATTTCTTTAATCGTATTTTAATGTTATAACTATAGCTATACACATTTTTAATCATACAAAGGAAGGTGAATAGTTACATATTTTATAATTAGTTACACACAATGGTCATGTGTGTGTGTGGGTGGGGACATATCCAAATTGGTCAGAGTAGGAAAAAGAAAGATAACGACTATCATTCTCTCTCTGTTCGCTAAGCAATTGACCACTACTTGCGTGTTTTTATTTATTTTATTTAGGCATCTTTTTCCCCTTATTGACAATCTAACTTTTTCTATATCATACATAGATAAAAAAGTTTTTATAAATAATAGTGATTTAATAACTAAAACATTTAGCTGATTACAAAAAACTATTGAATTTAATTTGATAAATAGTGAGTGTTAAATAATTGACGATAAAAAAATAATTTTTGTTACGAGTAAATGATCGATGTCATTAGGTAAATATCTCCACAATCCAACTTCCAACGTGATTTTTTTTTTACAATCTCTTACAATCATATATCATAATCGTTGATTTTTGTCAATCAACGGTTATGATTTTCGCAAATTAAACTCATTAATTAATTATTAATTCATAATAAATGACAACTGTTGAATGGCGGAGATCAACGATTATGATATATGGTTGTAAGAGGTTGTAAAAAAAAAAAGTTGAAACTATAACATTCCTCTTATTTTTCATTTACAATTTTTTACTCTTAATTTATTATTATTAAATCAATAACTCGGTCAAATCAGCAATTTTTTATTAGTGGATTTAATTCAAACCCTACTCCAACAAAATAAATTATCAGAATTTTAAAATACGTTAATATTATTTTGTTTGTATTTTAAAATAAAAAAGCAAGAAAATTATAAAAAGTATTTATAATTTTAATAACAATACAGCTCAGAGGCCAGCTGCACGACCGCCGCCGCCGATTTTATCGCCCAAAACCCCTGGCCACAAACATTCCGGCCGGCGGTCGGAAGAAGATTTGGTCAAATAGTGCCGATGGCGAACATGGAAATTCGCCGCCGCGGGAGCAACATCGCGGTGGGGGGTTTTGGGGTTCAACTTTTTCCCGGAGGTTAAGATAAAATACAGGGGCGTGAGGCAGAGGCTATACAGGGGAAAATGAATGGCAGAGATCCAATGTATAGAAAACAAAAATGATCATCAACCCACTTCCACAAAATCTTATGAAATTAATGATCGAATATAGCATAATGTCAAGTTTCATTATACCAACAAAAAATTGAATAAATAAATAAAGTCTCAAAATCTTACTTGCAATGAATGATACACGAAGGAGAAGCGCAAGTCACCACATCGTCTGCAACAACTGACAAATCGATACAACTTATCTCCAACGCCATTTATCTGCAGCAAAAAAGAAGAAAATAAAACCATAAATTAACAATAACAGTTCACACAACATAAAAGCGAGTGAGTAAATTACATCTCTTTCTGGAGAATATCGGGTGAAAAGAGTGCCATGTTTCGCCACCTCATAAGGCCAGGGTGACGGCTTGGGCGGTGGAGAAAGGGTGGGGTCAAGGATCATCCCCATGGTGCAACTACTGTTATCCTGAACCACCTTTTCATTTTCTAGAACCACCTTCGCTTCATCCAAAACGCCGTCGTCAGGATTCCGGCCATCGCGCTTCATTGCTATCGAGCCCACCATGGGTCCCGGGTGGGCCCTGATTGTCTCGGAAACAGAAACCTGGTAATCGGAGAAGCCATTTTCACCCATCAGATTGCTGCGGTTGACGGCGACAAGAACGGCGGCCGAAGCGGCGGCGTGCAGGAATGGAAAGCGGCGAAGACGGTGGTGATGAGCAGAGGAATGAATGGAACAGTGGAAGAGGGAGGCGGAGATTGAGGGACATAGGTTTTTTGGTGGGAAAGCGTTAGGAAGGGGGGATTGGTGGAGAGAGAAAGAGGTGATAGTGTCAATGAGAGGCATAACAGTGGAAGTGGTGGGAAATGGAAGAGAAGAGAGGAAAGGGAAAGAAGGAGATATATTATTTCTAATCATTTGTATAGCCAAGAGCAGATTGAATTGTTCCTTTTCCTCCCTTTTTCTTATCATCCTTCTTTGGTTCCTCTTTCTTGGTGGGTTTCTCTGACTCTGAGTATCCCAAACTTTTTCCAATGTTTTCAGGTTTGCTGCTCATGGCTGTGAATGGAGGAGTGTGGAGAGGATGTGGGATGGACAATACGGGAGAAGGTTAGAATTTTTATACTAAAATTTCCTGTGTCTTCTCAGTTGAATTTGAGTTGGTGAATAGGGGTAATCTTCTCAGTTGGATTTGAGTTGGTGAATGGGGGTAAAAAGGTCTTTTAGTTTTGATTAGGTAGGTGGACTCACAAATGTACATGCAGCATGAATTGCCCTCCCTATGTTTATGGCAGCCAAAAGTGTATAAATCTCCAAATTTAATTGGGTCAAATCGAATGTATCCATTTGGAAATTCTAATGTAACCATTACCCTGGGTTAGAATAGTCATTGATTTTTAAAATTCAGATTAATATAATATTTTCCTAAGAGTGGGGGAGGTAGAAAATAATTGGGTACTGGTTAATATTTATTCTTTGGGATATATTTTTCTTATGTTGTAGGAAAATAATTACCTCATGTTGTAGAAATAAAAGTATAAGTGGGACCCACATGTAAGAGGAGAGAGAAAAAAAAAGTGGTGGGACCCAACCCTTTTTGTGTGTGTAGGAGAGATGTTTATCTCATGTAAAATGAGATAAACATAACCCTTATTCTTTTGATAGTTCCTTGCTTTTCCATTTTTATTTTGATCTTCTTATCTTGCAAATAAAAATAATTGGGAAGTTGGTAGATACCAAAAAATGCTCCTTAGCAGCATTTTATATATCCATTGACACTGAGTAAATCAATGGTTCAATCAAACATGTTCTTCTTATATCAACAATAATAGGTCTGCACTATGATGTATTTCCCAAAAGCTTCCAAGTTCATGCTTTTTTTTTATCAAAGAGAAAGCATATCACACCCCACACTTTCTTAAGATATATGGCAGGGTTGGTTCTATATGCTATATGAACTACTCTATTTTATGGTGTTGAACAAGTAGATGCTCCATGAATCCTGTTTCTTTTGAGCCTAGAATTTTTTTTTTTTTTTTAATCTCATGGGTCTTCGTAGTGTGAGTTTAGTTTATAGTACTAATGGATACCAAGATCAGGTCATATGCTTGTTCAGAGAAAAAAAAAGGCAATCATTGTTAGATTTTGTAGGTGGTGTGTGTTATATCTATTTAATAATATTGACTAGTAATTATATGCTTGTCAATTGAGGTCATCCATCATATTGAAGCAGAGCAAAGAACATGAGTAGTTCCATTTACTGATTTTCACTCATGAGATGATTGATGAGATGCCACAAAACATATTTGTAGGAAATTAGGCATGTTCCTTTAAGCAAACTAAATAAAGCATTAAGGTCATGTGAATCCCAAATCATGAAAGCCGACTAGTATAAACCCCAACAATTGCAAATTAGTCTCCTAAACCACATTCAATTTCCTCATATATCACTACTTGCATTAAATATATCTTTCATTTTTATACAAGTTTTTTGTGATTAAGATTTATGTTTTTCAGAAAAACTTCCATTTTTATCACTACTTGCCTCACAATGGTATCTTGTTTATTTACTGTGCTTTCTTTTTGTGCAGGGGAAGTAGCTTAGAAAAAGATAAACTTGTCTTTTTTGTGATTTGAATTATATGGATCCTAATGAAAGGTTTGATCCAAATGGGGCTAAATGACCCAAATGGATGGCTTAATGATACGACTGAGCTCCTTAATATCATGTCAATATGGTTGATGATGGAACAAGCCATTTTGGAGTTAGTGATTGTATATATTGTGTCTTATCTACGTATGTGTCGCGCGGTTCAAAGACGACGTGAGAGATTATCACTAAGGCAACGAGCTATACCAAGGATAAGGGAAGAATCAAGGGTAGCATTCATAAGGAGGCTAATAAATGATGATGTTGCTTGTGTAGAACAACTCCGAATGAATATTTACACATTTCGAGTATTATGTTCTCTTGTACGTGTTGAGGGTAAGCTAAAGGAAGATGGGTTAGTATCAATAGAAGAACAAGTAGCTATGTTTTTACACATATTAGCTCACCATGCTAAAAATCGTGTCATCAAGTTTAAATTCCAACGGTCGGGAGAAACTGTTAGCAGATACTTCAATTTAGTTTTAAAGTCTGTGTTGAGGTTGCAAGAAATTTTATTGAAGCTACCAGACCCAGTTTCTGAGAATTGCACTGACGATAGGTGGAAATGGTTTAAGGTATGAATTATATTATTTTTCAATTTTGCATTATTTGTACTTATTTCACATGAATTAAATTGTTAAAGGTTGTTTACTTATCTATTACAAGGTTGTCTTGGAGCTTTAGATGGAACTTATATTACTGTTAATGTTCCTGAGGCTGACAAGCCAAGATATAGAAGTCGAAAAGGTGAAATTGCCACAAATGTGTTAGGAGTGTGCTCACGAGACATGAAATTTGTGTATGTGTTGCCGGGTTGGGAGGGTTCAGCTTCAGATGCTAGGGTATTGCGCGATGCAATTAATAGGAGAAACGGCCTTAAGGTTCCAACGGGTAAGAACGTGTTAGTCATTTTATCACAATATATGGTATATTGAACCTTACTTATTCTATTAAATAGGAAAATATATAATGGACCTTACTTGTTTTATTAAATAGGATACTACTATTTGGTTGATGGTGGATACACTAATGGGGATGGGTTTCTTGCCCCTTATAGGGAGACAAGGTACCATTTAAGCGAGTGGAGACATGGACATGTTCCGGCAACTCCTCAAGAAGTTTTCAATAAGCGACATGCTCAAGCTAGAAATGTCATAGAAAGGACATTTGGGTTATTGAAGATGCGTTGGGCAATTCTTCGAAGTCCAAGTTTTTACCCCGTTAAAACTCATAACCGAATTATTATTGCTTGTTGCTTACTACACAATTTGATCAGGAGGGAAATGGATATAGATCCTTTAGAGATAGAGCTAGGTAACATGTCTATTGATGAGGAGGTGGACGAAGAGCTACATGATAGCATAGACACCATTCACACCATTGATACAAGTGAAGCATGAAGTGCTCGGAGAGATGCATTGGCTAATGAAATGTACAATGATTGGGTTGCTCATTAAGTCTATATGTAGTCTTTTTTTTATCTTTTGCATTTAAATTTAAATTGTACCTTAAAGTTATGCATTTTTATGTTTTAATTTGTTGAAAGTTATTATATACATATATGTTTCAAGTATGTAATTTAATTAACTGGCCTATGGTACCATGAGGCTTGTCAACTTCTCCCTACTAATCCATATTCAGTAACAAAAGCAACTACACAATTTTATCAAACATTATTGTTTTGGATGAACTTATGTCTTTTTCTAAAAGAAACTGCAGGGGTATTTGGAACTTTACAAATCATGGTATTGTGACGTAATGTTAAGCACATTATGGACCGTAAAACCACAGTAAATTTGTTTTAATTTAATATATATATATATATATTAATGATTTTTTAAAAAATATTGTAGATTTTTATTTTTACAATTTTTTTTGGACATACTCATCAATAGGTTTTTATAAAAATTATATCATATGACATATTTGTAAAAATTATATAAATTCTTCATTAAAGGGTATTTTTGTCAAAAATATTTATTTTAATCCTATACAGTATTATACAGTGTATTACCAAACACTGGATAGTATTATTTTATACAATACATTATCTTATACAATGTCGTGCCAAACGCTGGATAGTATTAAAATTTAATCAAATCTTATACAATCAGGCTTTATACAATCAGGCATTATACTATCAGGTCTTATCCTATACTATGCACCAAACATGCCCTTAGTCTTTACATTTAATTTTTTAACATCTTCCGAAAGTGGGAGACGTAGCCAGCAGCAGGTGGGACTCTGAATCAGGGATTACCTTGTGAGATTAGGTCACGTGACGGTTGAGATTAGCCAGCATTTGTGCAAAGTCCACAAGACCACAACCATGAAAATATTTTAACTTCGTATCGAATATATATATATATATATATAAACGAAGCAATGTCATTTTGTTTATGCATCTACTATTACTCAGCGGTTTTCAATACTAATAATAATAACATTCACGTTCACGTTAAACTACGTTGTCCCATGAGAAATCTTGATGAACCTGGCCCCAGTCGTTCGCCCAAAAGCGTGTGCTTATCCATACATGATAAAAATATTCAATGGCACAGAAGTTAATATACATACATATATATATATATATATATATATATATATATGCATTGCTTCATATCGTTAGTAACTAGTAAGAATATATTGTATTGCATAAGCTTTTTTTAACTCAGGTAAAATTAAAAAATTTGAAATTATAAAAGATGTATCCATAACTGATTCAAGTTGAACTTTAAAATTTGGATTAATTGAAAAAAAGAAGAATAAGGTATACATAATTAATTTAAAATAATTTGATTATTAAAATTAAAAATAATAAACAAATATAATTTTCAGAAATATTAAACCTTTTTTAAGAATATTATACTTTAATTTAGTATATAGAAATGAATTGTACTTGTACGTTGTTTCTAATCGAATGTTTTGTAAAAATTAATATTTTTATTTTCATCTATATATTTTATAATTTTACATATTTATCTTCTTCATTTTGGGAGCACAAAAGTGCATACATCGTAAATACATGAAACTTACAAATTCGGTCAGACAAAATCTTCAATGTTGAAATTTTAATCTAACCATTCATTCACTTTTTTTCATTTGGTTTCATTTGTAAGTCAATCAATTGAGAGTAGAATTTGTGTTGGACTTATAGTCATTGATTTTTAAAGTTTATATTAATTGAATATTTTCTCTGAGTAGAAAAGTCTTCTACAGTTTCTAGCAGTATCCAACTGGGAATTAGAGATATCATTTGATTTCGTTTTCTATCTTCCAAATGTGGGAGTGGTACAAACATATTTTCATTTATTTTTTAACATCTTCCTAAAGTAGGAGACGTAACCAACAGCTAGGACTGTGGGAGGGAAAAATGTAACGCGTCGAAAACCAAAAACTGGGAGGGCAAAGAGAAGAGACAAAAGTGGAATCAGCGTGTAATTATATTATTTTATTTAAAATGCAATTAGGCAATTAATTTTACCAATTGAATGAGTGGAACTATAAGTTTTACTAATATCTTTTTTTTTTGGTAATCAATATAATATCTTATTTAATTTTAAAGTATTATTTTATATTGATAGGGATTTTTTTTTTTGATACGCTGATTTTACTTCTTGTGCAAGGCTTTACCGGGTGAGATTGTGGTCCCATGGAAAAGGCGTTCAATTCCCCAAGTATCGAAACGAACCGCGATTGGGGCCAACAATTACCGCCACAAATTAATAATAAAACATACTTTTGTGGGATCGATAGGCCCAACGATACAACTACCACACATTAATAATATAACATTGGGAACAAATTAACAGTTGTAGGAAAATCTATTAAGTTAAAGAATAAAAACTAACTATTAATTTGTATTTTAATAATTGAGATCCTATAATAGGATCTAATATCACGTAAGAAAGTACATTCCCTAAAACATTTGATTATATATTTAATTATATTATTTGATTTAAAATACAATTGGACTATGAATTTGACCAATTGAATGAATGCAACTTATTTTACAATTTTTACTAATATAATAGATATTTAATTTTTAAAATATTCTTTTATGTTGAGATGGATTTTTATTTTTATTTTTAATTTTAATTTTGATTTTTAAAATATTCCCTAAAACATTTTGATTTTTAATTTTAAGGTCATGTTGAAATGACGGTTTGTCTGGCACAAAATTTTCAAAGGTCAAAAAGTGTGCAAAGTCCACAACATCGTAACCCATGTACCGAAAATATTTTAACTTCTGTGCCATCAAATATTTACATGCATACGCAAGCACCAACTTTCGTGCAATCGAGTGGGGCCAACGATCAACACCACAAGTTAATAACAGAACATACTTATGAGCGATCGAGTGGGGCAAACGGTTACTACTACCACAGTACACAAATTAATAAATAGAACATGGAGTTGGGGTCTAATCTACTTAAACACAAATTAATGGTGACGGAAAATGTATTAAGATAAAAAAATAAAAAGAATAATCATTCATTTATGTTTTGATTAATGAGATCTTCTCATATGATAAATTAGAATATCCATATTACATGGAGAATTGGGAGAGAAATACTAGCTTGAATCTATTCAGCCAGTAATATTCATAATGAAACATATCTCTTGTTTGGTTCGCGCATGTTGAGATTCTATGGTTACCGGAACTGTCAAATTATCATTTAACCATTCATTCTCTTCCATTTTATTCTTCTTTTCATTTGATTCGTTTTCTATCACCTGAACATATATCTAAAAGAATTTAATTGAATATTTTTTTATTTGGGATTCATCTAAATTTATTTGTGCCCAATAGGAAGTGTGTGTTTATATAATTAGTCTATATCTATATAATATATTTATGCTCAATAGGAATACATGTTATGTCCTTATATAAATTAGTCTATCTATATAATGCCCAATAGCAACTGGACGCGTGCATACATGTATATGTTGCATATAGTTTGTGATATGAAGACGAATATATAGAACTCACTTTAACCATAAATAAAAATAAAATCAATGAAAAATATATTTTGATTCTTATACATAATATTTATTTTTAATTTAGTGTATGTTGAGTCTAGAGAATCGTAATAATATATCGTATGATATGCGTTCAGATATACCTTAGAGATAAGTATCCAAATTGGCTGATCACTACTAGAAAAGTCTATTTTTTCGACGTAATTTTTCCGTCGAAAATGATAAAAATTCCGTCAAAAATGAAGTTTTTGACGAAATTATCGACGGCATTCAGGCCGTTGAATTTTGCTTCGTTGATAACAATTTTTTCGATGGAAATAAGAAATTTTTTCGGTTGAAAATTTTCGACGAAAAATCAATAAAATTCCGTCGAAGGAAAATTAATGAATTTTCGTCGAAAACTGATGTAAAGATTTTCGACGGAAAATAAATTCTGTCGAAATTTTTTGACGGAATTTGTTTTCTATCAAAAACCCATACAACAACTTTCGACGAAATTCTATTGGTTTTCAGTCGAAAATTTTTGACATAATTTATTTTCCGTTGAAAATCTATAAAAATCTATGAATTTTCGTCGAAAACTGATGTAAATATTTTTGACCGAAAATAAATTCCGTCAAATTTTTTTAATATTTTTTAAATTTCTGTGTACAAAATTAATTAATACCAATTTTATGTGTACTACACCTAATAAAAAAATGTAATCAAAATAAAAAACATATCAAAATCAAATCTCCTTAATCAATACATTAAATGTATAAAAGTACATATCATATATTAGGCTAAGTATTAAAAAAGATTTATACAATTAGCTAGCGGTATACAATAAGTATATATTGTAACCTTAAAAAATTAACATATCAATGCACAAAACAAAACTGACTTAGGATATTCCAACAAATACAATATTTAGTGCACAATCCTTCTATTCCAATAAATACAATATTCAACTTCATCAAGTACTCAAACCTAAAAATAATAAGTTTTGTAGACTTAAGATAAGAAGTCTCGTCTTCACACACATGGATAAAGATTTTAAGTGGTGAACTTGAATATGGGGAACCTTCGCAAGGCTCTCGTTGACTTGAACCTCTCTTTGCTCTTTTGAAATTGCAACTGAGACAAAAGAAGAACAATGAACTTCTTTTTTGCTTTCTGCAAACACAAATAGGTAAATCTTCCAATATCAAATAATAGATTTCTCTCATGGACATGTACAATGTAAGTTAAAATTGACAATATTAACATTGATTTGTTAGTGCAGTCTCTCTTTTTTTTTATAACAAAAAAGTTTAAATAGGGTTAGACATCGGTATCCCACTAGAGTCAGGGAAGACCCCCCTAACCTCTATGAGGGTTTCTGGAGGTATTACATATCACCCAGCAACAAAGTCTTCAGATCGGCCAGCGGGATTTG